AGACAATTAAATAATATTTACATTTTAAACCACCTCCCTCTGAATTTGCAGGACAAAGAAGCTTTTATTTTTCAGAGCTATGTATTGTTGGATATTTAAACGCACAAAATACCATTTCATCACACCATCTGCATATAGCTAAGAATGTTTCAGTAAATTAATGGTTGGATTAAATGATTTAAATTTTTTTAGCATTTATTTTAATTTAAACTTAGAAATTGTCAGGAAATAGAGTTGGACCATAATAATGTATTTTTAAGATACATACTCACTTATACAGAATTGAACGGCTTAACTGAATAAATAAATTAATAGTGAAAAATGGTAGCACATTTCCTCCAAAAATAGTTAAGTGGAGCATTAAGCATACCAGCACAGAGGTTTCTTGCATCAAAGGCAACATATGGTAACTCTTACTGACAGGAATGAACTATCAGTAACTTTGTGCTCAAGGCACTGGAGTAGGTCCCAAAAAATCAGAGTTCATGTAGTACCAGAACAGACTGCATGAATGATGCTAGATGGGGTCACTAAGCTGTTGAGCCTCATTTTCCCATCTGTTACATAGGATTTTTTTCTCCCCTCTGTTTCCAATGGGCGAGGCATTTAATCTCATTTCAGAGAATAAGGAGATAATAAGTAGCATGGTATCACGTATGTAAGCATATAGCACAGCAACTGCAGTACTCAACCACTTTGCCCAAACTTAAAAATACCCTGAAGGAATTCTAACTTTTCCCAGATTCTGTAAGTAAATTGTTCTCCTTTTTAAAGTCACCAAGATTGAAAAAAAAATATAAAAAAAATAAAAACTTACTCTGGCCTGAAAAACTGTTTAGAAGTCTCAGTATTGGAAAATGGCTATGAATTTCATCTGGTGAAAAAAAGAACCCAAACAAATAAACAAACAAAAGAGCTCCAAACCCAAAACAAAATACCTCCCCCAGCCAAGTGCCACAGAAAAAAACCCCACAAGTCCAAACCAGTATCCTGAATGAGTTCTTAAAGATGATAGATCTGCCAACTACCCAGATCAGTCAAAACACAAATCTAATATTTTTGATGTGCAGAAATAATTAAACACCCACCTCAGTCTATGTATCATTGTGACTTTAAGTCAAGCATTTCAAATGACAAACTACTACAGTCAGTGTGACAGACCACAACCAATTCAAAGATAACAGACACGCCTTTAAATGCGTCAATCTGCTTTTATCTACGTTGTGTTACATGCCCCAGCTGGGGCAAGAAATACTGCCTACACTACAATACAATAACAAGATAAGAACTGCATATGTTATAAGAAAACCAACAGAACCATTTAAAGAAGTTAAACTCAACATCTTTACCAGGAAATCAAGAGCTGCAGAGAGCACACATTAGTGCATGAAGGTACTGAATTCAACAAAGTAAAGCTGCAGACTTCTCCTGCCCCACTTGGCTGACCACAGGAAATCATTATTATGTCATGGACTAGGATTGTGTTAACTGAAAAACAAAGCAAGTAAAATGGTACCAATAAGGACATGAAAAATCTGAATATTCCCCCCCAACACTTTTCATGCAGATGATCTTTCTCAAGACATTATTTACATATATATAAGATCTGTTATCTGTCTATCACAACAGTTTGTGGAATATAGTGTATACTACTTATTTAGATGAGAATTTCCAATTCCCATTTTTAGCTCAGTACAAGAAAACATCACCCCAAAAATCAGCTAAAAATTCAGACTTCAGAATGCATCCTGCTGATAGCAGTTATGCATGAGAAGCAACAGCTTCTCAACAAGCAACAGTGCTGCATATAATTTTGTCTATTATGGAGAGACAATGGATAGGCTTCAAAATCCTCACAGTCCATTTAGGTGATTCCACTTTGGCTTTAACTATTTACCTGAGTTGCCTATACCAGAAATGACTGTAAATAAAGCCTTTTTTTTCCTGTGGAAGACAAGTACAATGCTGATTATACAGAATGTGAAGAGACAATCACAACCACAGACTCAAGGCTACAGGTGACAAGACATCTGACAAATTTTAGCTTCCAGACAAGAAATATATATTGACATAGAGATTGCCACACTGACAATCAGAATGAAATTACAAAGCAAAATTTACATGATACTAGTTTCCTTCAACTGTCAGCATGACTATTACATGCTAGCACCCCCTGTTTCATGCAAAGTTCAAATAATCCTGGATACAAAATATAAAACAAATTTGTGAAGGAAGATTCATACCATTTATTTAAACACCTGAACAAGTGACCATAAACCCTGTCAAGACCAGTGGAAAAAAATTAACTTTCTCCACACCCAATTTGGAGCATCTAAACTAAAACTCCTAACAACAGCTGTCACAAACCCTTCCCAGAAAGTCTAGCCAATGGCATTGTCTTATGATGGCCAGTTCTTTCAACATACTGGTGTCCAAAATTTGGCTGCTATAACTGTATTCATTCTCCTCCAGTTGATATTAATATGCACAGCTGGGAGTGCAGATCAAAGGATCAGGCTAGTTATTCAGGCATTCAAATGCAAACTCAAGTCATCAATACTTAATTTGCTCGAAAGCAGATGACTTGCAATAACAGGCATAATCTCACCATGAAAAACAAACCTTTGCTTGTTATGAATCCTGAATAGATTATAGATAGAATAGACCCTGAATCAATAAGAGACAGCTTTGAAGGTGCTGTGATTTATAACATGAAACTGAAACTATACGTGTTATACAGACAAAAAATTTTAAAAATAGTGTAACAACTTTACACATTGAAAAAGCTGTCAGAGATGCAATGTGGGTCACTGATCTATTTGGACCTGTAGAAACAGAAGTCCTGAAAATGATTTTTAGAAACCACAAAGCCATATTTTATCTAAGAAAAATTGGTTGCTTTATTTCTTAAGAAAGATTATATTCTATTATGCTGCACAACTAAGTTACAGAAGTTGTTTGTGGTTAACTATACTTCCAAACTAAAGCTATTTAAAGGTATTCTAGTTCACCTAAATTTGCTCTCCCATCACAGAATATCACCTCCTTAATGGTACCACTGTAACCACAGGACTGCACTGGGAAATAAATGCAAAATCAAGTAAATTAAGAATTCCATGAGTCGTTAAGACAAGGAACGTGTCTGAGCTGAGTTCTAGAGCTCAAAAATTTGTAATTCCATATATAGATAATACAGTGTTACTAGAACTGTGTCAGCAAATCTGAGAGGTTAGCAAAAGAGCTTTACTCAGAGTTACAGCTAAAGACATTATTAGTATCGAACTATGACTGAAATCACAATGACTTTCAGGCAAATGTAAGAATATTTTTGCCCAAGGATACTCTTGCAGAATAGGGTCTGTAATTAGGATATTGCTATGCTACAGATAAACAACTCATGCAAATCAAAATTCTAAGTTATGTATTTAGGTCACTTGTCTATGTATTTGAATTAAACTTATCTATTTTTACTAAAATATATTTTCTTAAATAGTCATTTCATGTAAGGAACCTTTCTAAGTAACTTTTTGCTTTTGAGTGTTATCTGATAAGTTTTTGCAGGTGCACCCTGGTCTTTTCAAGAACTGTTTATTCTAGACTAGAGCCTTGGAGTGCAAACCTGTCAGTTCATGCTGCTTCATGTTTTATTAGTGGTCCTAGACATTTTTTGGTGATAAACCACTGCAGACTCCTGTCAATATAAAAGTTTAGGTTTTTTGAAGGAAGTGATAAAATATACTTGTTTCAAGAAGTTTATGACAGCAATTTAAAAACAAATTATGTCTGAAATAGGCTGAAACAAGTAACAAAGTATTATCCTGCATGTACACACATTGGAAAAAAAAAAAATCTATTCTTCTACTTCTCTAGCATATATACTGTTATTGAAGTTAGACCACATGCAGTGAGCATCAGAGACTACAGCAACCGTTCTTTTGATTAAATTATTAATCTGTTTTCCCCTACCACCTTATGCCCTACCCTCAAGCATCACACTACTACTGTAGTTGCTCCCAACTTAAAATCATCTAAGATGGCTATTCCAGAAGTCAGTGAAAAACTAGCATGAATTTAAAAGTAACTACAGTACCTGGCAAGAATTTAAAAGATATATGTGTCCATCAGATCTGACCTGTAGGTTCTTCTGACTCCTTGAGATACAGTGACTTTCAGCAGAAGGATGATAAGACAAAGATCTAAAGGACAAATACTGATACTGCAGAAACTCTGCATTGGTCTCTCTTTGCTGCTCGCACTAAGGAGAGAGTCCTAACCTTGCAATTAATTGTTGTGAGCTGGCCTGGGTCCACACCGTTCCAAACCAGCATCTCTTGAAGCAGCCTGGCTGCGTATCAGCTGGAGCTGATTCACGTCGAAGCCGCACTGTCAGAAACAGCCTTTCCTTTTCAGATGTTATCTGATCACAAAGTAGAACACGCACTGAGGGTTTCTAGGGACTCACGGAGCGAGAACAACTGACTCTTTAGGTGCAGTGTTTACGTAGAGACAAACCAACAGTAGAAGGCAAAAAATAAAAATAGCTGAAAGCTTCTACGGTCTCAATCGCAAGTGACTCTAATTTCCAGCCGTTCTCATTATTCCAGCCTAGGAAAGCTGACACGCGTCCTGCCTAACAAGGACAGGCACAACACGCACTCCCCCGCTACCACAGCGGGAAATCCACATTGCGTGGCACCCCGGGGATGTTCCCGGCAACGCCGCTGAGCACAAAGCTTCACCCATGCCTCACCACCCTTCACGTCCCTGCGGTTTCCCAGATGCTTGCGAAACTGCCGGCAACCCCATCCTGCCGAGATAATGGGGCAGCGGCACCGGGCGGGGACCCACACGGGAAAGGGGCTCCTAGACGAGGGCACTAGGCAAGGCGAGGGCACCGGGCAAGGCCCTCCTGCCCACCCCGAGCCGCGCCGGCGGAGGCGGCGGGGCCGCCCTGGGAAAGGAAACTCGCTATGACAGTANGCGGGCCCGGCCGCACGGAGAGGCGCTGCGGGAACCGGGGCTGCAGGGCTACTACCGTCCCCCGGGCTGCGAGGAGTGGGAGACACGGAGAGTTTGTTTGCACAAACAAGCTCGGAGGGAGAAGTCGAGAGGCGGGTGAGATGTGGTGTTGTGCAGATATCATTAGGCAAAGAGGGAAGGGAATTAAGGTGTCGGAATTTCGTTTTGTAGCAACACCGTTTTAAGTAGTAGTTGGAGTGTGTGAGTAGGAGTTGCCTCGAAGCGGGAAAGTCATACTTCCACAGGCCAAGAGACATGAAGATAAAGCTGTAAAAAAACCCCAAAACCCTACAGGTTCCGAGAACGACCCTTATTTTACTCTTTATTCTCAGCTGTTAGCAGGTATGCAAACATATAAACTGAGACCCCATTCTCCTAAAATGCTAAGCACTGTCATAAACACCCATCGTTTTGCAACAATAGATGGCTTGGCTGATGCTGAAGAATCCTTCAATCCTTGAAACATGAGACCAGCAACTGAAGACGGTGGGCACTGGTGTCAGGCTTCTTGCTGTTGAAGCCAAACTTTCCAGAATTGTTTGAGTTCAGTTTTCGACAGTCCCCACTGCCCCGAGCATTTCTAGATTTTGACAGGTCACATGATTTGTTCCATCCTTTATGAAAGTTAACATTCTTTAAATATTTGGAAGGTTTTTTGGAGTGGGAGGAATGGCAAGTGTGCTAGTAATTAAAAGTGTATGTGTGTGTGTGTATGCGCTGTGATAAACACAGGCTGCTTCTGTTTCTGCTTGGTAGCATTTTTGATCCCACTCCATGTTCAAGTAAGCATAAATACCTATCTGTAAAGAGGAACAATGGAGTGGATAGGCAGTTGCTCATAATGATTCAGTCTTCAGCTGGTCCTACAGAGACTTCCATACCTGGTGTTAAAGGTCATAGTTGAATGATCACCTGAAGCCAGGAGAATCAGATGTGCCCTCCCCTTGTTCACTGCAGTTCAGTCTGGCCCTTGTATTGGCCTCTCTTTTGAAGGGGTGCAATTGCTTGTGCTGTCATGTGGTGAGTTATATCAGGGAACAGATCCACATCAAAACTTACCCTACCCTTTTTACTTTGTGTTGTCCTCAAAAAAACCCTACCGACCAACCCACTCAGTTAAAGGCTGAAGAGGAGTTGTGACTGCTTCCTTCCAATGTGGTCAATTTGCAGAACTCTGACTGGTTAATAGTATGAAATTTAGAACAAGGCAATAGAAAACAGATAATTCAGTAGTGCTTGGCATCCTCTGTCCTTAATATCATAATTTTTGATTTATGATATTAATCATAATGCAGGGAATAATTTTTCATAGTCTGATCAGTACCAGCTCACTTCAGTCTCAAACTGGCTGCTGGAATGTTGAACATAAAACTATTTTTTTTACAGCAGGCATACATTATGTATTGACACACATACATTGACATACAAATCAGGCCTAAAAAAAAATAAATCCCTGAGTTCATGTAAAAATTCACAATGTTAAAAAAATATGTTACCTCACATCCCTCTGGAAATACAAGTTTCTATTCCCCCACAGGGATATTTCACTTGACTTTATCAAAGCTCATGCATTTGTACCTGCATTAACTACACATTGAGGTACATATATCTGAGACATGCCATTAGGGGAAAGAACCTGAGAACTGAAAGGTGGCAATCACTACAAGAAAACTACACCAAACCTAAGCTTGCATTTCACATAGTTTGACAAGTCCCTCTTTATAAAAGACTTTCTTCCTCTAAGTAAAAAAACTACATGATTGTTTTCTTTTCATAGTTGTCTAGTCCTTTCTTGCCATAGGTAAATATTCTAAATTACTTGTTTGAATTTTAAACTCTTTTTAGAAGAGGGGGAGGTCATAGTTTGGTTATAGTTTCTGAATTTTTTACCTAAATCCTCTTTTGTCCTTCCCTCTATGCATCTTTCAAATCCAAAATAAAACAGGGGCAAAGTTCTTTTGCACTAGCAGGTAAGAGGGCTGCAAACAATAGGAATCTGGCCTTTTCTCAGGCACTGAAGTAGAGGGTTGGTAGAAGTATGCCATTTCATTGTTCAGGGGTTTCAGTATTATCGAACCACCCATTTAAATGTTGTAAAAGAAAACTGCATCAGGATTTTAATAGGAGCTACTATGCAAGAACAGACTTCAGGGAAAGAAAATCATCTGGAAAGTGTCTCCACAGGGAAGACAAACATATCAATTAATCTCTGGGAGTTGCGGGGGGTTCTGACTTTCAAATCCTGCTAAGCTCAGAGTTGGATCATCCTCCCAGCAAGAGGTAAGATGCTGAAGATATTTTGCCTCAAGTCAGTGACTCCTATTTTTCATTTCTTTTGTCTCAGGCCAAAGTAAGGTAATGCTTTCACCTGTGGCAGCAGACCTCTCCTTTTACCCTCTCTCCCTCTAGGCACAGCTATCTCTTCTTGACTGCAGTCACTGCTGATAACTGTCTGTCACCAGGCTCAGTTGTGGGCGTTGATTTCACCTTTGCATAAGTGGTTGCAATTGTGGTGCATCCACACAGATATTTTATGTGCATTGCAACAGAAAATTTGATCCCGTTTGTTAGGAAAAGGGTAGCATATGGCACTGAAATGACAGTGCTGTATAAAATCCCATTAACTTGTCATATGAATTAGGTGGGCTTCACATGCTGCACCATTTGTTTTCCTCTTGTTTCTAACAAACCTCACTAAAATGTCACTTGATTGCAAGGGAGACAGCAGCTTAATAGTACTTACCTGTCTTTTTACACAGGCAGCCTCTTGGTATATATGTGGCAGAAATTAGGGAAGCTTGCTTATGGTTGGTGGTATATGATGCTTTGCTTAGCTTTCAAGTTGTAGCTACTTACTCTTTGCAATTAGTGCAGAGTTAATTGCAGAGTTAGTAAATCACCATAGTCATGGTCCCCAAAATGCTAAGTATAAACCAAAATTAGTTCACTAATATTTCTATCAGAATAATATTTAGGAACTTGAACTTGCATTTTTAAAATACACATAAAAGTAGGGAGAAAACCAAACAAAACTGTGGCAAAAAACTCCACAATCTGACACTCCTCTAGAAAGTCTAGTGGTGCATTACGTGGGAATTATGATGCAGTATCTTCTGAACAGAATATGAAACAAAAATACAGTGCAAAAGTGTGAAATTCTATTCAGGTATTATGACCATAGCACTGAGGTGTATAATTTGAATTTAATGCACAGGAAAATATGCTGAAGGTACTATCTGAATTTGCATGGAAAAAAGCTCCAAGAAGTTAAAAAATAATCAATACCCTTTATTTGTATAGCTAATAGACAAAGAGAGTCTCTTATTCTCAAGATACTTGGGTTCAATTCCTAGCAGAACACAAAGGACAATTGTATAATTTAGTCAGTTACTTCATATAGATGAGATTCATCTAAGGAGACTTAGTCTTTCTTAATGATCTTTTTCAAAGTGTGAGGAGGCCTTGATTGGAGAAGCACAAATACATCCTGCCAAAATAAATTAAGGAAGTCTTAGTGCTAGTTATAATTGGTTGTTCTGACCTTTAGGTGCAGGTGTAAAGAACATCTCCTTAACCTCATTGGGGTGTTGGAAAGATGGTTTCAGTCATATTTGGAAAGCTGACAAAGACCAGGGGAAGAAAGACAAAGTGCTGCAAGAAGTTTCCAGCTGGTGCGAGTTGTCATAGCAGAGACAGCAGAAGGATTTGCTGTATGAATCAGAGTTATAATCAATAGCCAAAAAGGGAAGAACTGAAATGAATGTCTATTGTGTATTAAGATTTAACCTGACCTTTCAAACAACATCTGCTGAAGGGTGCTTTCACCATTACAGGCCCCTGTATGATGGAATCATACAGGAATGCAAACATTTCCTGCATTTTCCTCTGGCAGGCTCTTCTTTGAAGTTCTAATCCTGCAAGTGTAGTGAATGTGGTAATGACAATAAGAATGCTTCTAAATCCTATATATGTTAGAGATACAGTGCCTGACTCACTGCTTAAAACTATAGCTTTTCTGGATGTAAGTATGTTTACATAAAATTGGACTGAAAGGTTAAAGCATAATACATCAGGCTCGATGGAATTACTTATCTGAGTTTTATCTGTGGTCACTATGCTAGCAGGAAATAATTGTGCCTGTGGTTTCTACATCCTGAGTGGAAATCTGGAATTCAATAAAATATGCTCTCATTACAACATACCTGTCTCCAACATATGTTCTCGTTTTAGTGTTTCTGTACATACAGATAGCTCAGATTTATCTTCTGAATGACAAAATTTATCCTGTTCACCACAGAATATAAGAAACCTCTTGCTGAGCTTTGAAATATTACATGGAAACCTGCTGTCAAATGCTGAAAGCAAGTTGTCACCCCTTTGCAGTGGAACATTGAGAAGCAGATTAGAATTTCAGATTGTAGCATTTTGAGACAAAAAGGAAATGGTAGAGTATGAACAAGTGTTTGAGGGTTCTCTTGGGTTAAATATTGCACAAGATAGCTGTTCACAAAAAAACTCAACAACCAAACAAAAAACAAAACAAAAACCACAACAAAAACAAAAACAGTGGTGATAGAGGTAGAATATGATGTTATATTATAAAATATAGCAATAAAATCTCATCAGCTTCAAAAATCATTGCTATGAAACACACAAGGCCTAGAGGAGGCCACAGCACTATTTTTGGACCCTAGTTCCCCCAGATCTAGGAATTTAAGGGTCACAGACCCTTTTATTATTGTTATCAAATTAGGTCTGCTTTAAAAAGCCTACTGACAAGCAAAGCCTAGTTTATCTCACTTTTTTGCTATTTACCCTAACTACCTAAATTTCCTGATTTTCTGCCCTCCCAATTAAATAGTGCCTTGGTCTCTTTGAAAGCTACTTACTAAATCTAGTCTAGCAATCTTAGTCTTCAGTTCCTTTTATAGATTATCCAGCATCTCTTAGCCAAGAATCCCTTTTAAATCTAGAAAGCTTCACTTTCTCTTTACTGACCCTTAATTATACCAAACAGGATTCTCCAGGCTGAGCTAACAGCTGCCATTTATCTTGCCTGATAACACCTGATGCTCATTCCCAGTAGTCTGGGGATATTTTCCAAAATATGTGCTGTTGAAGTGATCATACCTAAAAAAAGACTTTGTTACCTCTACTGGTTTGAAGGATCCATGTATTCTCTCCAGACAGGTCACTCGCTTTTCCATCAGCATCTCACTTTTGTGCCTTGCCTTTTGCCCTGTGGAGAATGAAGCAGTGGCAGAGGGGACCATGTGATCATGTCCAAAAATGTTCTCTAGTGATCAGTAAAACTTGTTGTATCATCAGATGTAAATCAATAAGGATCATAATTGTGTACGTTGTGCAAGAGGCTGTGTGGAGGTAGTATTTTCCTCAGCTGCTTGTATGAGCCCTGGGCCCCTCTGTGATTCAGTGAAGTGATGAATTCACACTCCTCTGTGCCTTCGATACATCAAAAAGGAACTTCACTGACAACTGACTTGCCCTGAAGTGTTTTTTCAGCACTCAGTATTGTCTGGGAGCTATCAAACTTCAAAGCATACCAGCACCCTTCCTTGTGTCCCACGAGTGTTTTTACTGGTGTAAAGGTGCCTACTCTAACTATGGATATTTTACATCCCCAGCAATAATGTCAGCACATTGCAATGACACAGTTCCACAGTGAGTGCATGTTTCCATCCCCCAAAGTCAGCACTTACTGAAGGGAAGTATGAATGTGATGAAAGACAGCTCTGGAAGCATTATCTGGAAGAGATATATGTTAGATAAAACAACCCTGTTCCCCCCAATAAGTACTTCTACGCTGGCTGTGTTAACCCACTTTGTCCTATTTGATGGAGCAAAGACATACTCAAGGCCTTGCTCCAGAGTCACAGCCTTGCCAAAAGGAGTAGCAGGATGAAGAGGCAGCAACATTTATTCTGTACTGCAGAGCAGCTGAAGACTGTTAAGATGTGGTCCCTTATTTAGAACTTTGGTGTTGCAGAATGGTACATGTGTGAGGTGAGTCAGAAACTAAAGTCTGTGCTATCTGATACCTGTTGGAGGTTCTGGGTTAAACTAATGAGTGGTATGGACTTGATCTACTAGATGGACAAGATACTGGAGGAGGGGAGATCGTGGAAGATTTTTGGCTTATTGGTCATTCTTCAGTAGGTGCCAAGGAAGCTAATGTAAGATGTAGGATAAAATGGAGAGGGAATGCTGAGAATAGAAGATGGCTTTTTAAAGAGGGAAAAGAGCAGAACTGTTTTAAAGAGCATAAGGAGCAGTTGTGTCTTGGATCTGAATAGCCAGTTAAATCTATATATACTTGAGTCAATATTTAGTGAATCACAGGAAATTGTAAAGGCTGTTGTGTTAATGTGATAAGCCAGAGAGATGCTCTAAACATTTGTAGAAATCTGTCAGTATTTTTTAAAGTCACTTGATACAAGATTAATGAAACAACCATTCTCATTAATTGTCTCATTAAATCTGTTACAACTGGATAGAATTTCCAATGGCTTAGCTTAATGCTTGCAGTAAGAAGTAAATTTTCAGCTCATGAGTGGACCTATAAATAGAATCTTTGGTATCACATCACCACAGATTGTAGAAAGGATAAAAAATGTTGTCAGGATTATATTCTTCCTCTACTGATTCACTTTCAGCAAAACTGAAACTTTGTCTGACTTCAAAGAAGCTATTTTAAAAATCACGATTTTCGGGAAGGAATGATGTTATTTTGCCTGCTTCATCAGAATGAATGCTCCTCTGCTGTGCACAAACGAGCTGCTTGCCCTAGTTGAACAAAAGCTATGATGAGGGCTTTGATCAGTTTTGAAAGTGTTCCTACAGTATTTCAGTGCCTCATTCCTTTTTGCTTTCTAGAACCTCTACTAATGACATTGGTTAAGAGGGAGTGTAAGTTGCAATAAGATGACCATCTCCAGAGAGTGCTGAATTGGTCTGTTGCAAGGCTTCCTTAATTATTTATTTCATTGCTACAGATTTTTTTTGGTTTAATAGTTTCTCAGGACAGAGAGATTCTTTGTTAGCTCCTTAATGCACCACTCATGTATGACCAAATTTGTACGCTTTAGTCTACAGAAGTACCTTTTATATTCACCTCATGTCATATCATGAATGTTCTGAAGTGTGGCATTCCACACTGGGTTTATTTTTAACTTGGAGACAAGCAGGAAATCTGTCACTAATTTCCTTCCGGCCATCTTTGACTGCCTTTTCTCACTCCTCTTAGTCCTCTGTATATTTCTTCTCCATTTTATCTTCTGAAGACAGACATGGTTTTCTTGATTTCATTCTTGTGTTTCTTTCCAGGTATTCTTCATCCTTCTTATGCAGCTTAAAGTTGGCACTTGGCAGAAGATTGCCTGCTCTCCTTGCATTGTATTAAATAGATCTGAGGTGTCCACCTACCTCATATGCATCTATTTCCTCGATTACCATAACTCATCTTTCCTGCCCAGGAAAATATATTAAAATTATTTTTTTATTTATCTGCATATTCTATGTGGTGCATCTAAAACTTTGCTTCTCCTTCTCTCAATAACTTCTCATTTGCTGCATAAGAAACCAAACTCTCTAATCGTCCTGGTCAAGTCATCAGCTTCTCACTAAATCATGTGCCTTCAGGAACTGCATATTGGCAATTCAGCATTTCCTTCCTGTCTGTTGCCATTACCAGGAGTTGCAGTCCTGTTGCTGCAACACTGTCATCACCTCACATCTCATCACTCACTGACAAAGCCAGGCTGCTCCCATCTCCCTCAACACGTCCACACTCTCTCTTCTTTCTGCTTCTTACTCAGGTTCAACCTTGTAGCTTGGCAGAACTCTGTCGTTTATTTCTTCATTTTCTCCTTTATCTTGTTCATGGGCCTGTATACTCATGCATCTTTTTTTCTACTGCTTCTCAGCCTCATGCATTTTTTATGCCACTCTGTGCTTCAGGCTTCTCATGTAGAAAGGCCTGCTTTTCCCCAAATCCCCTCGAGTCTCCCCGTATCCACCTTAATAGTGTCTCTCAGCCTCTGTCCCAGAAAGTCTTCTTTTTCCAAGTTAGAAAACTCTTCAAAGTGCAGTTTTTGTGCTGTCAAAAAGCAGAAGCTTTTCCACCTCCACTTTAAATAAAGGCAGTGCAGTTGAGAGAGAAAGGTATTTTTGCAGATGTAAAGCCACATTGCATACTGCCCACAGGGCTCACAGGTTTGGCATCTGAAGACTGACAAATTTCATATAAGGTCACTTTTGAACATTTTGGCAAGTGGTTTAGACTTTTCTCTGGTTTATTTAGATGCAATTTTAAAGTATTTGGAGGGCTTGTTTCATACAAGGCTAAAATTGCTGTAAATCTTGTGTTTTGGTGTTTCCTAAAGAAAGAAAGAAAAATGTTTTATATATTTACAAGCTTTTGAAAAATGCATGTGTACTTTTAAACACAGAATGACAGTAACAAAAAATACCTAACTTAAGGGGGGGGAGGGAGTGCAAAGCAAATATATTAGGAGCCTGTATGAGTAAAAAGTTAAGTTTCCCTTTCTCACTTCTACGCTTCTCCTTTACCAGCGCTGTAGAGACTGAAAATAACTCTGCTCTCAGTGATGTCATCACCATTAGAGGCATGCTGTCAGCTTAATTTGTTTTCTGACTTCAGCAAAGGAAATAGAATCTGACTGCTGACTCACTTGTTAGGTCTGAAGTGAGTAGTTATGCTTATTTCATCTATTTTGACCATGAGTTTGGGTCTTTAAATATCCACCTTCTTTGTAACAGGTACAAGTACACCTATTCATGAAGAAGAATGGAAGTGAAGTCTGAAATGATTTTGTACTTTGTTATCATACAGAAGATGTTGTCAAAAGCAGGAATATATAAGATTTTTGCAGAATTGTCCTACTAGAGTTTTCTCCTTCCATACCAGGCCATGGTGTTCATCTAGTTGTTGGTTGTCTGGGATGGTTGAATCACCTCAGCTGACACAGTGCCAGTGGTGTCAGCAAGTGATGGTTTGGCTGCTCAGATGCTTTTATTTTTCCTTCCTGGCCTGCCCCAAAATAACTCTTCAAGCTAAAGTGAAAACGTCTTGTGGAAAATGAGTGTGAAAATGGACCCTCTTTTGTTAATTTTATTATTTTTTTTTTTCCCATGTAGTTGTTTGGCAGAATTGCTCCTGCTCACAAAGAATATTTTTGATTTCTACATGACATATCTTATGCACGTTATGGGGGAAAAAAAAGGTTAGAGTTTAGTTAGGACTAACAAAATAGCAGCAAATGGAGACTGTTCCTGACAGCATACTTTTTTTGGCTCTCCTTCTGTATGTAAGTATCCAGGGGTCAGATCCTTAGCTGGCAGAAGATGAAAGGGGAAATAAGAGTAAGCAAAAATATAGAGATTTTTTAATTGGTGTGGTTTTCCTCAGGATGTTTAAGTAGCATTGCC